TCCTGGTTTCCATTAAATTACCACATAGCTGTAACGGAGGTTTTCTGATCTATCCAGAATAACAAATACACAGACATAATTGATATTGAAAAGCATTTCATGCCTCCAGAGAAGTCAATGAATGTACTTAGTTGTCTGATCTAATGAGTTCGATGAGCAACTGTGAAAAAAAGAGCAACAGAATCCAAACGACGTAACAGCAGCATATGCAGCAGGTTGACAGAGAATTTAGGAACACAGGAAAACATATGGCAAGTACAGAGCCTGCGAGGTCACTGCAGAAGACTAGAAGATGCATCAGACACATCACAGTGGTCAGCTTCAATAAGCCCATCTCAGGCACAGTTCCACGATGGAAATATCAAAGGGAAAATTATTGGCTCCAACAAATTGAGAGAAAATGTAAAAATTAATCAAAAATAATTTGACTACTGGATTCTCAAAGAAATTTGGGGGTAATAAATCAGTACTGAGAGAGCAACAGAAACGTCATTATCTGACCTCTGCTAACAGAAGTATGTTATAATGACTGGAGGTCTACAGAAGGAATCATTTGCAGTTGTACCAGGATCTACCTTGAAAGCTAGTCGTCTCCTTGAAGACAATGCCAGGCTTGATAAAGGAGAAAACCTCAAGGGTTATACCACAGTAGCTTGTTTGTCTCCCCCAGCCCCCTTCTATGCCGAGAGAAAACAGAAAAAATAAATTACAGCTAGAGGAATAAAAGTCTCGCAGAGGTTTTTAGACCAAATCCTTCCAGACCATTTGTAGGTAACTACAGAATCAACAGATATAATTTATGGATTTTGGTAAAGCCTTTGACACATTATCTTAAAACTGAAGAGATGACATGCCCCAGATATATGTACAATTACTCATAGGAAGACAGTCAGCTGAATGACACTGGGAAACTGGAAGTTGGCCTTATATTTTAATATATCTCTTAATCATCCTGAAGAAGCACTGACAATATATTAGATTAGTGCCCTGAGTCTAAAGAAAAGATAGCATGAAATGTTCCTACATGTGGCAAACATTCCTATTTAAAACACAAAAGTCCACAGAATAAAAGGACATAGTAATGCCTTGGAGTATATATAGCATACTTTATGACATGCTAGGTCTTCCAGCAGAAATACAATGCTCCCAGTTTACCTATCCTTACATATGCTTGCAGTACTATGCCATTCAGAACATAGTGAATAAGAAATTTGAGATTATCAAGACAAGAAAGGAATTTGAAGACGTAAGATTATAAGCTTGAAAAGAGATGAGGAAATGATGTGAATGCTATCTCAAACTAATGAAGGATGTCTAGAATAAGAAGAAAGTCAGTGATTTACCTCTAAGCAGCAAAATGATTATTTACCAAGAGAACAACTGGCCTTGACAAAGGCAAAAGATGATGAGCTAGACTAAAGGAACAAATTGCTGAATGCAGCTTAAGAATTTTCAAGAGTGGAATGATCATACTCACAGTCATTTTAACCTGAACTCACTGCAAAGAAAATTAAGCAATGATTTAACAAGTCTGTGGTAATGTATCTGCTGGTAATCGAGTCTGAATCTTCCTTGAGTTCTACCTCCTTTTAAATTTCTCCATGATTTTGCTACTTACGTTTCAGTATTCAAGAAGCAAATCAAGATATAGGCTGAATTCCTTTTCTTCCTTTCCCTTATTCCAAACAGGGCAAAAAATCTTTGAAATGAGGCAATATATGAAGTCAAAATCTTTGATGATTCACACTACATATAAAGAAGAATTGTTTTGCAATGAGAGTGATGAAACATCAACACAGGTTGTCCAGAGGTAGTGGATGCCCAATCCTTGGAAACATTTAAGGTCAAGTTGGTCAGGGCTCTGAGCAACCTGATCTAGTAGAAGATGTCCCTGCTCTTTGCAGGGGAGTTGGACTAGATGATCTTTTGATGTCTCTTTCAACCCATTCTATGATTTAAAAAAACCCGAACAAAACAGAACAAGCCCAAACCCACCATATCTGGCATATGATATGAATATGATATGAAATATAAAGAAAAATTTGGCCATAGTTTCATCTGGAATAGCTATGGGGAAGCTCTGCAGTCAGCCTGATGGTCTTTGCCTGGAAGAAACAGGACTTTCTCATCCTGAGTCACCAAAACTCCAAGGAATTATAATGCATTCAACTTTTACTACAGTCATGGAAGAACAGCTTCTGTTGTGCTTCTGTACAGTTTGTAGGCTCTCTAGTATCTTCTGAGTAACAGTGAGCAAAACCAAAGAGACTACCAGTGCCTGTGTCTGCCCTAAAATCTCTCCATGCCACAGAATTCAATAGCATAATGGGAGGATGAATTAACTTTTTCTTTGATTTTGCAAGTAGTTGTGGATGAAAGGACTGAGCAGCACTTCCCCTCTCACTACCTTTTGTTGATTGAAAAGTTGTAAAAGGCTGTTATCAAAACAGTGTGTTGGAATTTGAAGAAATCTGTAACAGATTTTCTGGTCTATAATGTATAAACATAGATTCTGTGCCACAAGCAGCAATTCCAATAACTATTTATCCACCTGTTTTACAATATATAAGCTGAACACAGTAACAGAATGTATAGAAATTTTCATCTTCATGTTTTGAGGTTTATTACCCATTGCATGAATCTATTCTCACATAGTATCTGGTTCTGATAAATTCACATTTATTACACATTACATTGCATGTAATGAATCCAGAGGAATACTGTAATATCACAAAAGAACACTCATACTTTGTAAACCTAGTCCTTCACTGATGGATCCTAATTAGAGATAGAGTGTTCATTTGATCCCATTTCTAAAATGCTTTGGTTTTATGGAAAACTGCATCTGAACTAAATTCAGCAGTTCAGGCCCATTTCTAGATCTTATACATGAAAATAATTATGTAATATTTGGCTCTCTTTAATAGATAAAATATTCAGGTCCATTAAATATGAATCTGTTTTCTTGCTGCTGGTCAAACAACAAGAACAGCTGTCATCTCCTTTCCTTCTCCCCAGAGCAGTCTCTGCGCAGTAGGACACAGTTCTCTGATCCTCTCCTGTTTGATTCCCTGTCTATGGCTCAAAGAATTGCAAACCTGATTATCAGATCAGAGTGTATCTGGAGACCAGAGCAGAACTGCCATAGACTATGAACCATGCTGGCCTAGCATATTAAGTAAAAGGCTCAGTATAAAACCCCATAAATAATGTAAAGTTGTTCCCAGTATACCTTGTGTCAATCCCGTTGGCTGGCAAATTTCTGCAACAGTTAGTGGAATTAATTTACTCTGCTTAGTGGATGGGATTAGCACACTAGTTAATGCTTTCAAATTCTACTTCATGGTCAGGAACTTGCCACTAGACTTGGGCTCTTCTGTTACAAGGCTGAATATCTATTGTATGATACAGAAAATACCACAAGTGATACAGTCTACCAAAATATACCTCAGCTAGTGGTGGCACCCTGATACCTATGGATCTTAAATTTCCATTGATGTTAAAGGAAAGGCTTCAGGTAAACACAGATCTAGTCTTATGAAATTACTTACAGGATAGTTTATAGCACCAATTGTTTAAAGGGAAATTGAATAAAAAAACCCTCCAAACAACAGAACTTGAGAAATTATATAAAACCTCAAAGCTGGTTTTTTTCATTGCTAAAAAAATCACCAATAGAATAAGATTTTGCAGTGTCTTCATGCACTTTACAATGGTAAAAGATGATTTATGGAAACATAACATCAAAATTAATCCCATCACTATGCATGTGCCTTCATTCACTACAACTAAAACAAACACTAAAGCTTCTCTTAAATTAAAAAGAAAAAAATTAATGAATGGGTGAGAACTGAGTCATGGCAATATAACTCCCCATCTAAAAACACCATAAACCATAACCTATAAAACTGTTTTATGCTGTCAACATGTGATGGATATTTATTGTTCCAGCACATATGGAACAAAATGTTCTTCTGTCTGCAGGCACACTATGTGTGTAGAAGTGTAGAAGTTCTGAACAAAGATGAGAAATTCCACCACTAGAGCTGTATGAAACTTATGTTTCCAATTCACAAACAATCCCTTGTTTTCTTCTGAAATAGATTTATTTTTTTTTTATTCTGATTTTGATTTTTTTTCCCCTTGGCATATTCTGCAGAATTACAAATTACAAAAAGCTTCCCATGCAAAAAAAAAAAATCCCCCCAAAGACAATTTAAGTTTCCAATTGCACATGTGTGTGAAAGTTTATACATTTCACACTGAGTACATTTTTGCATTCAGCCCAGATTTGCCACTGTGTGAAATTCATCTGAAATGGTCAAAGTGACAAATTACAAGTGCTTTATGATAAGTGCCCCATTTTCATTAAGCATAATGGATACTTTTTGCAAAAGTGTGTCTCTTGGCAAATGTCTTTTCTGTCTCACTTCTCCATCCCCAGGGGACCATTTTTAGATTCAAAATTAAGTACACAGCATGTTGATGCTTTATTTCTGAGCAGTTCCTCATTTCATCAGTTTAGTCCTGAGCCATTATATATTGAAAATATGCAAACTTGTCAAGCTTTAAACACTTCTGTAGCAAGTATTTCATATCCAACTTATCTGATAGATGTATGAAAGAAGGTTAAATTTAAGGTTCAATTCCAATGTTCCATACAGCTTTTACTAGAATATCAGCTACAGCCATCATTTTGGATTTGTTCCTTTGGAAACAGATTAGACATATTTAACTCTACATCCTGACTAACAAAATATCTCTCAGTAAAGCTTAACTGACTCCATGCTTTCGAAACAAGTCATTCAGCTTTCCAGGCTAGAGGGCAGCATTCATTGCTGAGGTGGCTAAGTATGCTGCTCTGCAGAGCTAAGACAAGATCATAATAATCCTACTCCACTCATTTTCTACAAGAAATTACATTTTAAAGCACTGTCTGGCAGAAATGAAAATCTGCCTTCCCAGGGAAATGCTAAAAATATATCTCCATTTCAGTTTACCTTATTGACATCCATTCGCAATTTCTCATTGTTGGCACTGGCAGCTTTTTCTGCTGCTTTCTTTTGACGCTGAGGTCCCCTGCCAAAGAAGATGTAGTTGACCAATGCATACTCCAGCAGAGCCATGAAAACGAAGACAAAACATCCCATAAGGTACATATCAATGGCTTTCACATAGGGAATTTTGGGAAGAGTCTCTCGAAGATGGGTGTTAATTGTTGTCATTGTGAGCACAGTTGTGATTCCTGGAAAAAAAGAATTGACAAGCTTAGTGATAGAAATAATTTTAATTTTCTAGCATAATAGTTCATAATATTCAAATGTTACAGATGAAAAATTAAATATTTCTTTTTTCTGGGGGAAAAACACATGTCCAACCTCTGTCCATTATTAATAGAATCCTAGAAAGGTTTGGGTTGAAAGGAACCTTAAAAACTGTCTAGTTTCAACCCCCCTGCCATGGGTAGACAAACTTCCACTAGACCACGTTGCCCATAACTCTATCCAACCTGGCCTTGAACAGTTCCAGGGATGGGGCAGCCACAACTTCTCTGGGCAATGTGTTCCACTGTCTCACCTCACTCACAGTGAAGAATTTCTTCCTAATATCTAATATAAATCTACCCTCTGTCAGTTGAAAGACATTGTCTCTTATGCTGTCACTCTATGTCCTTGTAAAATGTCTCTCCCCTGCTCTCCTGTAGCTCTTTTAGGCACTAGAAGGTGCTGTAAAGTCTCCCTGGAGCTTTCTCTGATCCAAACTGAACAATTCCAGCACTCTTTCTGTCTTCACAGGAGAGGTGCTGAAGCCACTCAATTATTTCTGTGACATTTCTACAGCCTTTCAAGGTCCCTCTGGATGGCATCCCTTCCCTCCAGGGCACGGACAACACCACACAGCTCAGTGACTTTCTGAGGGTGCCCTCAATCCCACTGTCCATGCCACTGACAAAGATGTTAAACAACACCTGTCCCAACACCGACCCCTGAGGAATGCCACTCATCTCCATTTGCACATTGAGCCATTGACCACAACAGTTTGAGTGTGACCATCCAGCCAATTCCTTATCCACTGAGTGGTCCAGCAATCCACTCCATGACTCTTCAGTCATGGATGAAGTCATGAGAAGGATGTCACGCGTGACAGTGTCAAACGCTTTCCACAAGTCCAGGTAGATGATGTTAGTCATTCTTCCCTTCTCCACTAGTGTTGAAACCCCATTGTAGAAGGCCAACAAATTTGTCAGGTACAATTTGCCCTTAGTGAAGCCATGTTGGCTGTCTTCAATCACCTCCTTATTTTCCACATGCCTTAGGATAATTTCCAGGAGGATCTGCTTCATGATCTTGCCAGGCACTGAGGTGAAACAGACTGGTTAGTAGTTCCCCTAGGACTTCCTTTTTTCCCCTTTCAAAAATGGGTGTTATGTTTCTACCTTTATGGTCAGTTGAAACTTCACCAGACTGCCAAAACTTCTCAAATATGATGGATGGTGTCTGAGCCAGTTCTTCTGCCAGTTTCCTCAGGACGTGCAGATGCATCTCATCAAGATCCCATGGACTCCTGCATGGGATCCTCAGGTTCCTTAGAACAAGATCTTCTACAGCAGGTGGTTCTTCATTCTCCCAGTCCCTGCCTTTGCCTTCCACAACCTGGGCAATGTGTCTGGAGCACTTGTCCATGAAGAGCAAGGCAAAAAAAGTCATTGAGTAGCTCAGTCTTCTCCAGATCACAGGTAACAGGTCTCCTATTTCCTTCCAGAGAAGGTCCACATTTCCTCTAATCTTCCTTTTAGCATCGACATACCTAAAGAAGATTTTCTTGCTGTCTCTGGACCTATTTAGTTCTATCAGGGTTTTAGCCTACCTAACCTGATCCCTGGCTGTTCAGCCTTTTCCTGTATTCCTCACAGGCTACCTGACCTTGCCTCCACCCTCTGCAGACTTCCTTTTTGTGTTTGAATTTGTACAGGAACATTTTGTTCATTCCTTAGCTTGGACTTTTATTTTTTGTATGGCAAAAAATCATTATAGCTGTAATAAACTGTGCTCAAACAAACAGTAGTTGGATTCCATGAGAATGTTTTTAACTATCTAAACTGCAACCTTCTGTAATGAATCTCACTTAGAAATTACCATGCTATAGTCACTGTTATCTTGCTTTCCTCCAGGATTTTCAGAATATCTGCAGTCTCAAATTCTTAAGGGAAAATGCTACACAGAAAGGTCTGGTAAAACTTAGACAGTATTCTATAATGTTAAAATGTCAAATTCTCAATAGGATCTTTTATGGTGTTTTACTTATTTTAGGTATATGAGGGCTGTACTGGCAGGAATCGGTCTGATTTATACAAAATTTGGCAATAGATTCAGATATTTATTTTTGTAACATGTTTGGGTCCTCTGATGAGAGGCACAGTAAAAACAAACACACATGGGATTAGTGATGAGATATAAGAGTACTCCAGAGGTTAATTAGGGAAACAGTTTTGCTTTTGGAATGTAAGGTAACAGCAAGGAAAAAAAGAAGAATCATGGAATTATTTAGGTTGGAAAAGACCTTTAAGATCATCAAGTTCCACCTTTAATCCAGCACTGCCAAGTCCACCACTAAACCGTGTCCCTAAGTGCCACATCTGCATGACTCTTAAATCCCTCCAGGGATGGTGACTCCACCACTTCCCTGGACAGCCTAGTCCAATGGTGGACAACCCTTTTGGCAAAGATATTTTTCCGAATATCTAATCTAAACATCCTCTGGCACAACTTGAGACCATTTCCTCTTATCCTATCACTTGTTACTTAGCAGAAGAGACTGACTCCCACCTGGCTCCAACCTCCTGTTAGGGAACTGTAGTGAGCAAGAAGGTCCCCTCTGAGCCTCCTTTTCCCCAGCCTGAGCCCCTCCAGCTCCCTCACTTGCTCCTCATCAGACTTGTGCTCCAGACCCTACCCTAGCTCCGTTGCCTATCTCTAGACATGCTCCAGCACCTCAATGTCTTTCTTGAATTGAGAGGCCCTAAACAGGACAGAGTATTCGAAATGTGGCCTTACCCCTCAACTGAAGGACAAGTTAGCTGGACAACCCTAGTAAAACATTCATCCACACCTGAGAGGAAAATGAATTTTTAATCCGTAACACAGTACTGAATGTGTGTTCTGGACTGCCATGGGCAAAAGCAAACTAAATGCATTCTCTTTGGAGAAAAACCAAGCAGTAAAAGAACAACAGAAAATGTTGAGACAATTAGGCTAATTCTGGTTACAATGATTATACAGTTAGCTAATTCAGACATGAAATCACTTTAATTTTTATTTAAATTGTCATGATTTAAACGCTGATTCAAAAAATACAAAGCTTAACAAGCCAGACATAAAAAGATCTAACAGATTTATTTTTCAAATCATGCACTATCCACCAAGCCAGAAGCTAGAAAAAGCATTCAGCTAATGCACACTGCATGAGATGAGTAAAAATGCCTACCTAAAGCAACTCTTGCAGCTGAAGCATCATAATTAATCCAGAAGGAAACCCAGGACAGGATAGTGATCAGAATAGAAGGCATGTAGGTCTGAAGAATGAAGTAACCAATGTTTCTCTTAAGTTTAAAGCTGAGAGACAGCCTTGGGTAGGCACCTAAAAGAGAATATTTGGTATGGCCATAATTTACTTGTATAAAGCCTGAAAACATTTTTCTGTCATTTTGGTTTTATTGTTTCATGCAACATAGAATACACTCAGAGTTGAAAGATCCAGGATAATCAGCTGCAGAATTTCTAGCAAGAATTGGGATTAAATAACCTTTAATTCTAAGGGTACAAGGATGCTCGAGGTGCATATCTGCTGATTATCATAATATTCAACAATCAAGAGCCAAAATACATGTCAGAGCAACAAAGCATAGAAACATCTCTTTCCTGGCAAACTGTGGTATGTCCACATCAGTGTAACCCTTATTCTAAGCTTCTGTCCAAGAAACTCAGCACTTGTCTTTTGTAACTGGACAACAGAAATATTTTAGTGTGCGAAACACTTGCTGAAATAGGTGCCTAGAAACCATTTTTCAAGTGCAATTTCTGCTTGGTTTTAAAGAATTTGGGATGCACAATCCTTCCATAGTCCCTCCAAAGATGATTTCTAGCCATATATGGAAAGTGAGTTTTGAAGATAAATTTTTAACACAACTAACAGGTTTTCCAAGTAGGTAGAGAATAGTGTAATAGCCTTACACAACTCTTGCCTCTCTTGAACAATTTAATGCCAATAAAATGGTTTAGTTTCTTGTTTTGTTTTTTATTTTATGCCATCCAATCTGATTTTCTACTTCTCCTCAGAAAGCATCTTTTCAGCCTTCAGAAAGTCATGCACTTCCTAGAATAGGCTAAACTGCAAATCCTGTGGAACAAGGATTTTAAAGGTTTTGCATTAAAGACAAAATAATTAGTCTAATATATCCGCAGCTTGGCAAAAGGAACATCTAGAAATAGTGAGAAAAAGGTTCCTAAATTTCCTACAGACCAAGTTGTTACTTGTCGGGTTTATGACACAGAGGTTTATAAGTGGATTAATCAGTTTTCATAGAAAAATAGAAAATACAGCTCATTTAATGAGCCTTTACGTGACAGACTACTGTGCCCTCTTCATATGTTAATGAATGATGCCTTATACACTATGAAAGCTGTAATAAAAACTGCTCCTTTCAAAATTCACCGTTGCTGCTCTAATTTATGCTTGTTACTAGCATCTTTGCTCAGATCCTGAATTGCACATTGAGGATTAACCCACTTCTAAAAGTCTTCCCAGTGAATTCCCCTTTTAGCTTCCCCTCCACAAACCTGTAGAGAAAACAACATTCTTGGTGATAAGCTTGTAGTCTACAATGGAGAACTGTGGCAGCTCGATCTTTGTCACTCCTGTGACTGCATTATCACCCCCACGCCAGTAAAATTCAATGTCATCTGTTGTATAGCCATCTATAAAAACAGGAGTAAACAATTTAGATACACATCTCTTCTGACATCATGGAGAACAGTCCAGACAATTAACTCAAAGCATAATATATTTATATACTGAAACCACTTGTAATATAATATGTATATAAACATACAGACACAGGTCATTCTAAATAGAATTTCAAAAGGCAATCCCCGTTTGTCTTTTTAAAAGATATATTACATGAATATATCAATAAAAGAAACCTTTAAAACCAAATTAAGACTACACACATCCCATGTCTAGATAGGAACTGTACATTTAGCTTAAGGCAACTTCTGATCCAAAGGCTGAATAAACCTGCATGAGCTTGCTGTAATTTCTGTCTCTGTGCCAAAACACCAGCCTTGGTAACAGAATCATGACCTCTTGGTGACCTGGAAGAGATGCTTTTCTGTCTTGTGCACCATGGTCAGTATAGGAAAGAGGACAGTGAGAGTAGTGCTGGAAAGAGCACAGTGTAGTTATCTCAATGTTTGCTCTGGATGTTATGCTGCTTATAACTTGACTATGGATGCAAAGGACAAACTCTAGTTCAAAACCATTTAGTTTTTACTTCTAAAACCAGCATAATTCTTTTTCTAAAATGGCTTGAATGCAATAAAAGACAGACACATTCAGTGAGGCTTGTAAGAGGCCTTGTAAGAAGCAACTACAGCAGATGCAGCAGCACCCATCACTCTGGGAAAAGGAAAAAACACCCTTAGGAAACCAACAAAACAAAAAAAAAATCCCACCACCCACAGAAACACCCCAGAAGACAGCACATGTTCACACAGTCATAAAACATATGCATGAAATAGGAATCTGGGCTTGCCAAATGGCAGCTGAGCTAGCTAGCATACTCCAGAGCTGTGTACAGAAATGATGACTATACACCAGAAATAAATCTATTGCAAAGCTAGGAAATAAGATAGTCACTTATATTTGTAGCCTTTTAAAGATTTTTGTTGTTGAAAATTGCAAATAAAAACAACAACTCCAAACACAATAACGACCGTGACATTTTTGGGAAACTGCTATAATAAAATTATGCATATATATATAAAACCTTGATTTCAAGTTCTCACCCCACAGACAAAGGACAAAATTATACAGTAAACACCATTTCAGAGTGCTCAAATGTCATTTAATTTCAAGGAATAATGCAGCATGTATAGAATCTATTAAACCGTTTCTATGCATCATTAATTTTTGACAATCCAAGGATAATCCAGGTGTACAGCAGTAGCAGAAGGCAAGTGAGTTTGAAGACATGAACCCAATAATCTGTAAAAAGGCTGAAACAAGAATAAAAATCTATCAAACACACAGCAAGTTTTAAAGTATTTTATAGCACATTGATAGCAATTCCAGATTTATGTATATATAAGTCATTCTGCTTTTCATAGTGATGTCAGCAAATCTAAAGCAGTTTGAGGGAAGGAAATGGAAAATTAATTTCAGGAATCAGAACCATCTCATTCATACAGGACATCGCATCAACATCAAGAATTCAAGATGAAACCAATTCTGCTTTTAAAGTTACTGACATTGACAGTAAAACTGATGAGAGATTTATAAATAAAGTTCTTCTTTAATCTTTCCATTTACACAGAAGTTCACTAGCTTAGCTCATGATGTTATCATATGTTACTTATTCAGAGTCTAAAGCATGAGAGGTCTGAAAAGGAGCCAAAATTGCTGCTATCCATCAGTAGAAGGCCTATGCTCTGTTATCAAACAACCATTATCCATGACTTCACAATCATACTGATGTTTCTTACGCACTTTGTGATACAACAAAGTATATTCAAATCAGCATTTTTAATCAGCAGAACTCTGCAGCTTTGAAGTTGTCTCATGAAGATCAATATGTGATTGAACTTTGCTTTTCATTTAGTGCATCCTTGCATAGGAAAAGCTTCAACACCCCACACAGAATTGTCTCAGACAAAATTCACAGTGCAACATTTTTGCATGTTGACAGACAGATGCTGTATTTAGAGATAAGAATAACTTTAGCACAATGAATTCCAAAAGCTAAGCAAGAAACTCTTAGTTCAGCCAAGACTTTTAGAACTGATCTTGAATTGTTCTGTAGTATCAGTTAAATTATTTCCAAAGAGTCTAATAATTACAGATTTACCCAGGAGATTGGAATTGCTTGTTCTCATGAGGAAATAATGTATTTTGCTTCTTAATTATGATTTTGTGACACTGCCCTATTCTATGAGAGCCTCCATATCTCTCATTTCTTCAACTAATCATGTTCTATTTCCTCCACAATATAAAGATAGCAAAAGGCACACAATGGAAGAGCACCATACTTTAAAAGTTTATTTCCTTCCAAAATGATCTGAAATACTGAGACACTTCTAAGTATTGAACATTTTAAGAAATGAGGAATACTTGTGCTTAGCCATGTCATTGAGATTACCATAGTTTCTGAACTAACAGACTTGAGCAATGAAATACAACTTGAAAACCTTTGACAATAACTTTTTATCTTTAACTTTTTTAGATTCATTACTTCTTGTGGTAAAAATTCATCCCAAATTCTGGCTCTGACACTGTTAAGGTAACACCTTGGTAACTTCTCTCATTTTCCTGTGGCTGAAAGTGTGAATGTCCCAACTTGCCTAGCCTCATCCTCTGGTTCTCCACTGGACTCCTGTAAAAGCTTTATCCCATCAAACAGACTTTGTTTTTGCAAATTGTTACTTACCTCCTGAGCCTGCTAAAAACAAAAGCTGCAGTCATGTTCCCAAATCCTGCACAGAAAGGAGGCTCTCCTCTCTTTCTGTGATGTACATGGGACCATTACACCTACTGGTGTACCTTCTCCCAGTGGAGAAGCGGTTCTTTGACAGGAAGAAGAATTACTGCTAGTATTAGAGCACTGGCTGTTGACAAGTACTTTCTGCAGGATACTAGATTTTAAATACAACTAGTTCTGTTTCATTTGCTTTAAAATGTACTTTCCGAGGAAGATAAATGGTACATGGATAGAGCTCACTCATGACTGTTCACAGCAAGGCAGGCTCACTTCAGTAAGATGCTTGAAGGGAAGACATTTGTCTCTGTATTTGTGTGAAGCACAATCCTTCACTCAGTGCAGTAAGTTCTTTGGTCATTTCCCCAAGTGTTACATGGTATGAGAAGTATGTGCAGATTCTGCTGACCTGAAATTCATCATGTTGTCATGATATCTTTTACTTTCCTGGTCACAAGTCTATCTTCAGAAAAGAGGCAGACAGCTTACTTACGTTTCCTTGTCTATCAATACTTTGTATTTGTCAAGCCTCACTCTAAGCTTTCACAGAGAAAAATACAACAACATCTAATATAAAAAAAGAAAGATTAAATTGTCTAATCTTGAGACGTAAAAGCAACTTACTGCACTGAATGTTATGAAAAATATAAAAGAACATCCTTAGAGAGTTTAGGAAGAAGAATATTACCTTCCTGTGAGGGTTCACTCATTGTGATATTGCCAAATTGTGCTCAAATCTACCCTGTCCTCCAACAGCAAGTTCCAGATTCCAAAACCATTTGCCAAACTTGGTGGGATTAAGCAAGGCAATATATTTAATTCTAAGGCAATTTAACTGTTAAACTTCACAACTAATAAATCACTCTCTAATTTTTTTTTCTGAAAAATCAAATGCTAAAATAAGTTTCAGCAAGAAAAAAACCTCTTTTCTATGTAAGAGAAAATATATTTCTAAAAAGCACAAATGGCTCTGAATTCTACTGTATTTTTCAGAACATCTGTTAGTAGAACTTTTTTGTCCAACTGCCTATAAAGTGTTTGGCCTTGAACCATGTAATCATATGAGGGTTCATACAGGAGAACTCCAGGATTTACATTCCGGCAGACTGATCAATGCTTCAGCATCACCCTCTACCAGGAGGACGTGGTTAAGCTTCTCCCTCTATTCTCACAGCCTTAATACTATGCAAACATTGACAACTACTTCTTGAGGAGAAATGAACTCGTCTGAAACTCTCACCCCAAAGTTCAAAATGAAGATTCCAAGCTCTGCAGCTCTGGGTGGCTTTGGGGAGAACTGTGCACAATTCACTGCTGCTTAAGGGACCTACATTAGGCAAATGTTAAGCTGAGACTGACACTACAGGACAAGACTTGTTAGTAGGTATCAATAAGAAGAATTTCAGGAAGTCTCTTGCAGTTTTCATTAAAATATTTCTCTCTCTTTCCAAGAAGGATAAATTATCCCATTCATTTCTTAACATGGAGAAGGAGAGAAGAATATTACAGTCATCTGCACATGAATGCTATTGTGTACTGCTAAAGAATCCAATGGTAATTGGATAGAAATCTAATATCTGCAAAACACCTGCCAGAACAGAGAATGGGCCTAGTCATGTCCCTAGAGGATGCTTTATAGGTATTAAAGTCCAATTACCTGTGGCTATAATAAACTCCTTCTGCAGGTATTTGGGACTCAAAACAACTCTACTTACAAGTTAAAATTATTTCAAGACAAACCAATTTAAAATACTAATAAGCAGTCTAGAAAGAATAATCTGATGATCTTGACAAGAAAAAAAGAAAAATTAATGAATGTCAGCTCAATATTTCTAAATTAGCAGATCCCATGTTGGTAAAGCAGAAAGTAAAGCATACTAAACCAAGAAACACTCCAAGACATTTTTGCCAGAATCTGAGTTTAGCACAGAACACTATTTGATTTAGACTGTAAAACAACTGTTGGTTTACTATATATTAAATTGTATGTAGCACTGCTACCAGCAGAGAATCTGATTGATTGCTTTTCCCCCAATCATTTATATATCATCAGCAGCACAATTTACTTCACGTTCAGAAAGTTCAGTTTCTCATTTCTGTCACGCATCACACACCAGCAGTCAACCAAATCAATACATTGTCCTGGTAATATGGCACCAATCCTAAGAGAAGCAAAGCATTCTCCACTCCCATTAACAAGGACAGGGTGTTTATCATCTCCTATAC